AGTCTATCTTTGAGGTCCTGAGATTATAAAGTAGCTCATGGTGTCCCCCTCTGTCATCTGTGCCTCGTCTCTGTTTGGTGTTTGTTTTTCATTATGGCTGTGCTGACTTCTCATAATGTGTAGCATTTGTTGTTGGTAACTTTTGAAAAAGCAATAAACAAAGAACATCCTGCTCACATGCACCTGGGTTTCTGTAAAACCCTACAGTGCTCAGAGGGTGAGCTGTGTCCATTTAAACAAAGGTATACAGATTATAAAATTACCAATTAAACAAGTTTTTAGTAGAGTGAAATGACCAGGTTTTCTTTTAACCAGGAGGGGTGGATGATGAAGAGGGGGAGCTTTGTTGGGAGAAGAGGTAGTTATGCTGGGGTCAGTCCACCCGTGGGGGCATTGCGCTGCAGGGCTGTGACTGTTGGAACGGAGCTGCGTTTCCTGGTCTTGTGCTTCCTCTTAAGCAATGCTGTTCCAGGCACAGGTCAGCCTGCTGCCAGTGAGTGGAACACCGAAATTGAGAGACAGCTTTTTAGAAACTTAAGGCAGCTTGACAGTGTGATTTTATGGCTGTTGAATCTAATAAATAATTTGGCTTGTGTCTGTCTTACTAAAATTTTGTCTCCCCACCCTCCAGTTTGATTGGCATTGATTATAAAAATATCTATTTGCAAAAGTAAAGGGGGGAAAAATCGCCAAACACAAAAGTAGTCCTCACTCAGTTTGAGAAGCACCACCCCGAAGTCACTCTCTGTGAAGTTCACTCCTTTGGGCTTAGTAGCTTCTTCAGCACACACTATGGCTATCTCGTCTTACTAGGATATCCAGGCAGTCTGTTTGTTGCAGAAAAGATCCTTGTTCCCCATAACATAGGGACAGTGGCATTGCCTTATTCCCTAACCATTGTTAACATTTGGGAAATAGTTAAACTTGTAGAGCTTTCTGCCTCTACTTTGTTAATGTGGCTGTTTCATTCACTTGGTTGTCCTGGGTTCCAAAGTTCTTTTGATCAGCTCTGTTATACTTGCAGATTTTAAGGACTGAAGGTTGTGAGCAAGTACATAGTGGTCATGCTGTCTCTCTTTTGATCAAATGTCAGTTTGCACCAGGAATATGATCTGTACAATAGTGCTTTTGTTGGTTGGTAGGGGAGGTGAGGGGTAGAGATTGGTCAGGACTTATAGGAAGCTAAATTTAAAGGTGTTACGCTTTACAAAGGAGAAAACTGGGTGTGTGCATTTTGCTGTAGTATGTTTTTAAAAATATATTTTATTGATTTTTTACATAGAGGAAGGGAGAGGGATAGAGAGTTAGAAACATCAGTGAGAGAGAAACATCGATCAGCTGCCTCCTGCACACCCCCTACTGGGGATGTGCCTGCAACCAAGGTACATGCCCTTGACCGGAATCGAAACTGGGACCTTTCAGTCCGCAGGCCGATGCTCTATCCACTGAGCCAAACCGGTTAGGGCTGTAGTATTTTGTTAAATACTAGAAAGTTAATTTAAAATGTTACGTATTTTGGGGCCCTGGCCAGGTAGCTCACTTGGTCAGCGTGTCATCCCTGTATGCCAAGGTTATGGGTTCAGTCCCAGTAAGGGCACATACAGGAATCAACCAGTGAATCTATCTATATATATATAAAGCCAGCGACTGGGCCCTAACTGGTTTGGTTCAGTGGATAGAGCGTTGGCCTGCAGACTGAAGGGTCCCAGGTTCTATTCCAGTCAAGGGTATGTACCTTGGTTGCGGGCACATCCCCAGTAGGGGGTGTGCAGGAGGCAGCTGATCAATGTTTCTAACTATCCCTCTCCCTTCCTCTCCTCCTTGTAAAAAAAAAAAAGCCAGTGACCAGAACGCTGTAACGAGCAGTCGTTATGATGCCCACTGAGGCCAGAAACCTGCCCAATCAGGAGTGGGACTGGCTGGCCAACCTCCCGAGCCCCCGCGGCCCTGCTCCCAATTGGCCTCTCCCATACCCCGATCAAGGGCAGGGGGGCTGGGCACCCCCCACCCCCACCCTGGCCAGCCCCGCCCCCAATGGGCCCCCATCAGTCTGCAGTCCCTCCCTCCGACTGGCCAGATCCCACCCATGCACGAATTTGTGCACTGGACCTCCAGTATATAAATAAGTTGAACAGTAAATGGATGTCTCTGTCTGCCTCTCTCTCTCTCTCTCTCTCTGAAATCAGATAAATAATGTTATGTATTTTGAGTGTCAGTTTAAATACTTATTTTAAATATTTTTACTGATTTCAGAGAGGAAGGGGGGGGAGAGAGAGAGAGAGAGAGAGAGAGAGAGGAACATCAATGATTAGAGAGAATCATTGATTGGCTGCCTTCTATATGCCCCCTGCTGGGGATTGAGCTGGGCATGTGCTCTGACAGGGAATCGAACTATGGTCTCCTGGTTCATAGGTCAACATTTAACCACTGAATCACACTGGCTGGGCAATACTTAATATTCTTAATACCAACAGTAGTTAATGGAAGACTTAATTGTTTATGTTTTTCAAATATAACAGATTTCTCTTTATTTCTTACTAGAGGTCCGGTGCACAAGATTCATACACTGGGGGTTCCTCAGCGTGGAATGTGCCTTCTCGCAATTCGGGGCCCCTTGGGGGATGTTCACCTGCCGGCTTAGGCCCGATCCTCAGGGTGATCGGGTCTAAACCAGCAGTCAGACATCTCTCTCACTCTTGTAGTCCAGGACCCCTTGCTTTTTACCGCCCGCCTGCAGTGGAGGCGGAAGAGGATCCCGCCACCTCTGCTATGCTCGCCAGCCATGAGCCCGGCTTCTGGCTGAGCAGTGCTCCCCCTGTGGGAGTGCACTGACCACCAGGGGGCAGCTCCTGCATTGAGCGTCTGCCCCCTGGTTGTCAGTGTGTGTCGTAGCGACTGGTCGTTATGCCGTTTGGTTGATTTGCATATTATGCTTTTATTATATAGGATGTAATACTCAGTGTAACCTTGAGTTGAGCTGGCATTGTCAGTCTTACACAGATCTAGATAAAGTTCTGTCTATGGGGTTGCTTCTTGGCTGCTTTTTGCCCTCTCCCCTCCCCCCTAAATACTGGACCTTGTGAATATTATGCTAAATGAAATAAGTCAGTCAGAAAAAGCTAAGAACCATGTAATTTCACTCATATGCGGGATATAAAACTTAAACATAGAGGCACAGACAGACAACAGTATGATGGTTACCAGAGGGAAGAGGGTGGGGGTAGTAAAGGATAAAGGGGGCCAAATATATGGTGATGAAAGATGATATGACTTTGGGCATTGGGAACAGTATACAGATCATGTATCATAGAAATGTACACTGGAAACCTACCTATATGAACCTATTGACCAATGTCAGCCCGATTAATTTAAGAAAAGAATAATTAAAATTTTCTAGAGGAAATTATAGTAGATTATTTTTGCGTTTTAGAGGCAGACAAATATTTCTTACAGAGGACACAAAAAGCACTAAGCATTAAAGGAAAAATATATGATAAATTGAATTTTATCAAAACTCAAAATTTCTGCTCATCAAAAGACACTATTAAGAAAATGAAAAGTCAAGCCATAGTATGGGTTAAAATACTCACAATACATAATCTGCTAGATAAAGTACTGGTATCCAGAAAACACACATGCGAGCACGCGTGTGCTTTGAGTCAATAAACTCCTACAAATAAATAATAAAAGACAACTCAATATAAAAGCAAACATCTAATAGTTACTTTATAATAGAAGACATTCAAATGGCCAAAAAGCACAGGAAAAGGTGCTCCATATCATTAGGTTCAGGGAATTGCAAATTATAGGAACAATAAGGTAGTATTTACCCCCACTAGAGTGGGAATGACCAAAATTTCAAAAACTGATAGTACCAAATGTTATAAGAATATGGAACAACTCCTTTGTGTGCTGCCCTCCTCCCCCCCCCCCCCCCAATACTATTTCTTGAGCATCTGTGTAAGCAGGTCTGGATAGACAGTTTAGAGTGGTCTCAGAAGTACCTACTTCTATTATGGCTTGAGATCCTTACAATTAGAGGGAGATTTATTATGAGACAATTTATGATAAATGTCAGGTTAGTTATACATAAAGGAAAAATACATTAGGATACTTACAAGGAAATGGAAATGAACTATCGTTGTAGTGTCAGTTATGGTGTTAGGAAAGATGGAAAGAAATTTTTTCCAAGATTCATTAGTATTCAAGTTGATAGAAAGGTGTGTCTCACATTAGTTTTTGTAAATTGTGGTTTATAGACACTAAGTGGATAAGTTGTGGGGTCAATGTCTAGGTAGGATTGCAATGAGGAGAGACCTGAAAGGTAGATTAAGGGCAGTTTTTTGAATTTCTAACTAAGGGCATTGGGTTTACCCTATAGCCAGAGGGGGTAATCCATAATCTAGTGGGGATGGAGTGGTTTTGGATAGACTAAAGAAATACATGTATTTTCTGCATTATAAGCTTCAAATTAGTGTAGTGACTGTCTGGCTGAATCAGAGTCAGAAGTGATGAGAATTTGGGGTACAAGGCAGGTTCAGTGATGGAGGGACAGCAAAGATGGGCTGGGTGTAAGGACACAGGATTAAGGACATCATGTGTTGGTGACAGCGTCATGCTAATGAATAGAATGCTGTATAGCTGTGGCAGGCTGATTTGTGTTTCCTCATCACTGTGGGTAAATCAGAAGTCTATAAACCATTAATCCCATGTCATCAAACAGCAGTTGGTGAAATACGCAGGCACATAAGTGGTCTGTGTACAGGCATGTGTTGGTACATACTTTATATCAGTTATGAAACAGCCTTTTAACCAAACTTCCTGCCTTTTAAAGCCAGCCTGTGGTTTATGAAAGTGTGAGAGATATAGAACCTTAATTGTAAAGAGTTTGCTTGAAATAGGGTCTTTCCTCCCTTCTGTTTCATAATTTTATTGCTGCACGTAGCTCTATATTCTCTGATCTCTGCTTAATTTATTTTTATTTTCTTTTCCTTTTACAGGCCCAGGCTGCAAGCACAAAGGAAGTTTGCTCAATCTCAGCCGAATAGTCCCAGCACAACTCCAGTAAAGATAGTGGAGCCATTGCTACCCCCTCCAGCTACTCAAATTTCTGACCTCTCTAAAAGGAAGCCTAAGACAGAAGATTTTCTTACCTTTCTCTGCCTTCGAGGTAAGACTGCATTACCGCTTGTTTTGGAGGGAACAGCCTAATTGATAGTAAAAGGAGTAACAGTGCGCACAGGACTCCACGGCATGCTTCTTTCATTTCCCCAGCCTGCTTTGAGGTAGACGCCAGGGTGCTTGAGTCTTGATATTTCTTCATATTTCTCTTTCTTTTATAATTTGCCTCTTAATTTCTAAGTATAGTTAACAGTGAAAATATTGTTCAATGTATGTAAACAGGACCAATTAACAGTACAAGTTGAGGATAAAATTTTGTAATAAAGGATGGGTTTGGGTTTACATGGCTATATTTTGGAAAGTGTTTACTATAGTAATTAAGTTTTCTAACAGTTGTGAGAGAAGAACACAAAAAGCTTGGCAAAGAGAATGAGGAGCCTCTTACTAGAATGGTCTATAGAGATGAGCTTTAGAAAGCCATGAACTTGGAGAGTTCCTATGTGAAGTTAGTTGAGAGAGAAGGTGAACAGGAAGGAGAGGGTCCTTGCTATTGGTCATTGGCTTAAGATTCAGGGTTATGTCCTCCCCTCCCTAACATTTTCAAATAAGTTATAGCAAGATTTAAGTACAGTGCAAAGAACATTTTCCTGAACTACTCGAGAGAAAATTTCCACTTGATGCCCCATTGCTCCTTAACACATTAGTGTGTATTTTCTTCAAATAAGGACAACCTATAACAAACAAAATTAGGACCTTCACAAAGATACATTACTTACCACCTAATCCCCAGACTCCCATTTCAGATGGCTTCAAGTGCCTCAGTGATGTCCAAGTTTAGAGCCTAAGGACCCAGTTCAGAATTGGGCATTGTCTTTAATTGTTGTCTGTGTAGTCTGCTCACTCTGGACCAGTACTTTTGTCTTTGTCTTTCCTGACCTCGGCCGATTGTTTTGTAGAATGATCCTATATTTGAGTTGTCTGTGTTTCCTCATTATTAGATTTGGGTTTTGCATTTTGGGCTGGAATATCACAGAAGTGATTCTTCAGTCTTCTCCGTGCATCCTGTTACGTTGAACAAAATTTCAGTCTGTCCTTTTACTGAAGGTATCACTTGATTGAGGCTTCTCCATTGTAAAGTTACCTTTTTAGCCCTTGTAATTAATAAATATTTTGTCTGGAGGTTCTTTGAAACACTAGATTTTATTTCTCATCAAAGTCAATTTATTTCTTTTCTGTCGGTATGGATCAATTTCCTGTTCAAAGGGTTATAATCTTTTACCATTGTTTGTTTTGATGTTTAGATTGTTCTAGGTATCATTATTGGAGCCTCTTCAAGCTGGTTTTTGGTCCCTTTGACATGTCCCTGTCATCCTTCCAGCCTTGCTTTCTGGCATAACAGCATGTTCCAGGCTCATCTTGTATGTTCTTTCCCTCAGCCCTGGAATCCTCCCGTTCTCCAAGGAGCGTTGTTTTTTTAAGTGACAGTTGTTCTTTACAAGCCCAGATCTGAGCCTGAGGTGTGCTCACTTCATAGCTGTTAGAGTGCCATTTCTCCTAGGTGCTCTGAACCTGGAGAGAGAGAGAGAGAGAGGGAGAGAGAGAGAGAGAGAGAGAGAGAGAGAGAGAGAGAGAGAGAGAGAGAGAAAGAAAAAGAACATGCTCATTTAGTATATCTAGATGTATATTTGTGTCTCTGTGTATTAAAATCCGTGAATTAGCACCAGTACTTTCAGTTTAACCACAGGGTTTATTTGGTTTTCTTCCTTTCTATTCTGAAAACTGAGAAACCAGGCTCCTGTTAACTGCATTGCATTTGTTTATTTGATCAATCTTTTCCAGTGTAATCCACCTCCCATCTCCCCAGGTGGACCCTTCTAGTCTCACTCAGGTCTGACACCCGCCTAGGCCACCATGGTCACTCCTCCTCTCCCTCCCTGGTTGCTCTCTCTCTCTGATTGCTTTAGGTCTGAATTGTTAGGAAAGGGGAAATGAAGAGTTAAGGTTTATGTTAGATATTATGGACTATTGATAGTCCTCAGAGACTCAAGACATGAAGGAGAATAATTGTATTTCAGTGAGAAATTTTTTAGCAGCTGGGAATCATTTGGCCTTGACTAAAGGAAGATGAGGTAGGTGGGCCTTCTCTACCAGTTCAAAGTTACATAGCTCCTTGCTGTCAGATTCTAGGTGTTGAGGTTGAAGAGGGAAGGGGATGTGCTGTACTGACTGTGAAGGGTGAGGAGAAGAGGAAAGGTAAGAATAAGAATGACCAGCTGTGAGGCTGGTAGTGTGTGGTGTGGTATCAGTAATAGAGTGAGTGGGAGCAGGTCGCCAGAAGAAAGAGCCTGAGTTAAAGAAATCTTTCAAGGGTCAACAGTGTCATTAGCAGCTGAATGGTTCTGGTAAAGAAAGTTCATGGTGGTGGGAGTGTTTTACCTTTGACCATGAGTGGCTTCTTAAGAAAGTTAAAATGTATAGATTTTTTGAGGGAGGCGGGGAAGGAGGTGTGGGGCGGGGAGAGAGAGAGATTTGTTGTTCCATTTACTTAGGCACTCATTGGTTAAACCTTCTATGTACCCTACCAGGGATGGAACCTGATACCTTGGTGTACCCAGACGATGCTTTAACCAACTGAGCTACTGGGCCAGGGTAAATACATGGGTTTTTAATGCAGTTGGAGCCAGATTTAACTTGGAGTCATGACTTCACTGTTTAATTTTCTTTAGCGATTAAGATCCAATGATCTTGTTCCATTGGGATGTCAGAGGATTGCTCTGTTAATTATGGAATTAAGTTATAAAAGTGGTTACTTTGGAGTGGGTGTTACTCATTGTTAGAGAAGATTGTGTGTGTTTTGTGCCTATATAGGCATTATTTTAAGAAATATTTTCTTTGGTTTGGGAAGGTTTGGAGAGGACCTTACTTAGAGAGGTGTGCTTATTGCTCAAGTATATATCACGTAGTGAGAATGTTACCCGGTACCCAGCTTTCACATTTCAAGACTAGACAAAAAGAGAGTCATGTTTTTTCACAGCCATAATATACTTTGAGTTGTCAGATGGAACAAAGGTGTGTTCTTTGGTTTGTGTCATCGTCCACCCCCCCCACCCCCCACCCCCAAGGGATGGGCAGGTTGTGACTCCCAGGCAGGTCACCTTAGGGGCAAACTTTACCTGCTCAAAACTTCCTCTCACAGTAGTAGTGAGGATTTGGGCATAACCCAGATTGTTATTTTCCTTACTCATAAGTTTAAGGCATTGGACCAAAGGTTTTAATAAGTGAAGCCAAGAAGATGTGTACAACAACTTTGGAAAAATGCTCTGAGCACTGGAAATGCCTTCCTGTGTTTATGATGCAGGCAGTGAAATAGGTTTTGTTACTAGTGTTTAGTTGATATACATTAAGGATTTGCAGAGCATTGCACTCTTTCTCCTATACTTTTTAGACCTGTGGTTTTAAAAGGATGAATGAGTCATTTTTTGTTTTACTTTAAAAATCATGTTTTTGTGAGGTCAAGTGTATTTACTGGATCTGCCTCTAAAAGCCCAAAATAATTTCTATGATGCCTTTATCATCCTGGAAATCTAGTGGATTTGATGACATTTGATGGCATATTTTAATACTAAAGGCCCGGTGCATGAAAATCCATGTACTGGAGGCGAGGGGCCCTCAGCCCGGCCTGTCCCCTCTCACAGTCCGGGAGCCCTCAGGGACAGGAGGCGACCCAACGATCAGGGGAAGGCAACACTCCCATCACAACTCTGCTGCTGCCACTGCCAGCAGCGCAAGCCTAGGCCGGCCCTGGTTACCTGCACCTCGGGCCAGCCCTGGGCAGCTGGGCAGCCACCATCCAAGGCTTGCCTGTGCCTTGGGCTGGCCCTGGAGGGCTGGGGGGCTGGGGGATTCCAGAGGTCAGCTCATGGAGTGGCTGGGCCTGCCTAGCTGCGGGCCCGGCCTTGCTGCATGCCTGCCACCCAGGTGGGGCTGAGGAGACTGGTGCTGCCATCTTTGAGGGTGTGGCAGTCAGTTAGCATATTCCCTCCTTATTGGCTGTGGGCCCTGCCATCATTGAGGGCGCGGCAGTCAATTAGCACATCCCTCTTTATTAGATAGGATGTAATTGCTTGAGCTAAGAAAAACTCCTCTTTTGAAGAGGTAAGGGTTAAATAGATGATCCTTGTTGTAGTGGTACTTTAATAATTTTCTTTCAATTTAGAATTAATGATAAGATATTAAATTTTTGTTGTTATAAAAGTATTTCATGTTCCTTTTGGAAATATCTGCAGACAGGATGGGAAAGTCGGCAAAAGAATAAACTTGACCTTGGCCAGTGTGGCTCAGTTGGTAGGAGCGTGCACCTAAATATGGCTCAGTTTAGTCCTGTGCACCAAAACATGGTGGCAGGTTCGATTCCTGGTCAGGGCACATACCCAGGTTGAGGGTTTGATCCCCAGTTGGAGCACATGCAGGAGGCAACCGATAGATTTATTTATTTCCTTCCTTCCTTCCTTCCTTCCTTCCTTCCTTCCTTCCTTCCTTCCTTCCTTCCTTCCTTCCTTCCTTCCTTCCTTCCTTCCTTCCTTTTCCCTATCACCCTCTCCTCTCCCTCTCTCCCTTCCCCTTCCTCAAGTCACTTAAAAAACCTCAAAACTCAAAATACCCTCCCTCCAATCTCTCACAGACAACCACTGTTAGCCACCTCCTGGATGAGACTATTTCTAAATCTCCTGTGTGCATATGTGATAAGTGTCACTCCCTGAAATGGAATTGCATTGTTTTTTTACTTTTGCCCTCCGACTTTCCAGCGTCATAGGAATTAATACTGTCACATGAATACCTGTTCTATTTTCCGGATGTCTTATCATTTATCTAACTTTATATTTACATTTAGATGTGTTCCTCATTTTTTTTTTATGTCAACCACTGATGACACATGTCTTCACCTAAGTCTGTGCCTTCTCTGAAGTCTTTTCAGAAGCTAACAGTTGGGAATCCCATGACCATTATAATACTTGTATTCTATCTATGTTTGTTCCTTTTTGCTGTGGA